ACAAGACAAAACAGAAAACTGAAACCCACATGCTATTTTCATGCCAAAACATTTTGGAAGCCTGCATCTGGGTTTATAATGGAAGAGTCAGCTGCATCTTACTGCTGACAGTTTTCTTCTGCCATTTCACAGATAAAAAACCAAGAAAATGCACAACTGTGCACAACTCTGGCTGGATGCCAAACACCCCCCAATGCCACTCCATCACTCCCCTCTGCAACTGGAGAGGGGAGAAAATATATAATGAAGGTTTATGAGTTGAGATAAGGACCTGGAAAGATCCATCACCAAATACCGTTATGGGCAGACGGACTGGAATTAGAGATACTAATTGAATTTACTACTTACAAAATCAGAGAAGGATAATGAGAAGTAATATAAGACCTTATAAACACCTTCCCCCACCCCTCATTTCTTCTCAGCTCTACCTCCTTCCCTCAGTGGCAGAGGGAGACAGGGAGTGGATATTAGATCTGTTCATTGCATGTTGTTTCTGCTGCTGTTCCAGCATGGTGTCCCTGCCACAGGAGGCACTTCTTCATGAACTTCTCCAACTGGAGCCCATCCCAAGGGGAGCAGTCCTCCACAAACTGCTGCTATGTGAGTCACTCTTTCATGGGGTGCAGTCCTTCAAGGACAGGTTGGTCCAGTGTGGATCCCCATGGGGTCACAAGTCTTTCCAGAAAACCTGCTCTAGCGTGGGCTTCTCTCTCCATGGGTCTGCAGATCTTTGCCAGGACTGTGCTCTGTCATGGGCCTACCAGAGGTTCACAGCTTCCTTTCAGGCATCCACCTACTCTGGTGTGGGATTCCTCCAGGGGCAGCAGGGACTTCCATGGACTGCAGGGGCACAGCTGCCTCACCATGGGTTGCACCACGGGCTGCAGAGGAATCTCAGCTCAAGCACAATGGAGCACCTTCTCCCCTTCCTCCTCCTTCTCCACTGACCGTGATGTCTGCAGAGTTGTTCCTCTCAGTGTTCTCAATCTGCTCTTCTCTGGCTGTAGTTACATCTGCACAATAACTTCTTTTTATTTTCTTATTAAATATGTTATCACAGAGGTGTTACCACCATTTCTGATTGGCCCAGCCTTGACCAGTGGAGCAGTTTTGCTGTCTGATTGACACTAATTCTCTGATAAACTAAAAATATAAAAAAGTTTTCTGTTGGGAGCATAAACAAATGGAAATCTTGCGTTTTTTTCTGCCTGAGGATGTAGAGGTTTTATGTTCCAAGTCAACAAACTGTTGTGTGGAGTTGGCTTATTTCAGGGCTGTGATGACAGTTCTTTTTATTTATACTCCATTAGGACATGAATGTTCCTGGCACAATTTTGGTGACATGATACAGGAGACAGTGCAAACACAGGGTAAAAATCAGCATGTGCTGTCACAACTTTGCAGTCTGAACAGACAAAACACAGAGAAACTGAAGGCACAGAAAGGTGAAAAGACCCATTGAAAGTGGAGCCACTATGTCTTAAATTGCAACCTGAGGACAAACCTGAGAGCAGGCTGTAGTTTATTTAATCTTAGAGCTTTTTGTAATTTCACCCAAATTAGTGAAAAATTAAGCATTCCTGTCATCTGCTGAGTGCTGAATAACAACTGAAACAATAATCCTCTGGGGAATTAGCTTTACAACATTGGTTAAATCAACTTTGGAAAGTTTATAACAAAATTTGAGAGAGGGGAGCTGGATCAGGTGTTGCTTACTGATTCCTAGGTTGGATCTGGCTAGCTCTCCTCATAATCACATTTATCCCAGGTGAGATAAAATTCAGGTAGATCTAGTCACGTCTTACCTAAAACCATGAGATCTGTGGAATGTCATAGCTTGATAGAACTAACAGTGTAGATTGGTTTAGAACCAACTTTGCATTATAAACTTAACCATTCTGTCTGTGAAGCAGAGCTGGAAAACCCTTAAATTTTATCTTTCCCTAGAGTTTACCATAAATATTTCTGTTATTTTGGACAGAAGAGCCAATTGCAAATCCATCTTAGCACCATTTAATAGTTGCCTATGGCCAGTGCTATCTGTGGAAGGACAGTCAATATTTTGCCCTGGATGAGTGAATATCTAAGGATATACATAGAAGTCCTGATGTAAATAAGAAATAGTTCCTAGAACTAAGGTTATTTATTATTATAAAACGACATTATGCCCAGAACAAACACAGAGTCAATAGTTCAAGTGCCTTTTAACCCAGATGTACTCTGTGGTGAGCAGTGCAGATGGTGAGCAGTGCAGACTTTGTAAGCCTAGGCACAAGAATGCCACAGTCTAAATATTCTCCTAGCTGAATAAAACCATTGTTACTATATCCCATAGGATATATACTGGCTGTATTTTAATAGTTTGTGTAATATGGTGCGGAGGCAAGAGTGGATTGAGTAAGCTTTCTCCAGTCAATATTTCCCATTTATGTGGGTCTCACACTTAAAACATTTTATTTTTTCATTTTCCTGTTTCTTTTTTAGTTTTTCACAGTGTGACTTTGAAGTATTTAGATTTTAGTAATACTTTGCAAATCTATCTTATTATAGTAATGCTTCTGCTTTTCTTTTGTGAAATTAGTATGTTAAAGGAATTTAACTTGCATTGTGAGGATGAGCCTTTGTTGTGAAAATGGACAATGTAATAGGTGATAGATAACACATAGAATATGACTGGAGCAACTAAGAACTTGTTAGAAGCCAGAAAAAGCTATTTCAGAGGCTTTTTCATGTTTTTTTCTACTTCATAGAAGAGCTTGTCAGAAGTATGTATGAACTTGATATCCTGCTTCTCGCTGCAGTGTGATCAGGAGCCAGTGACACATATTCTATTCAAAGATGTTCATTAGTTTGATTGAAATGCTAAGTCCTTTGGGACCTCAGACTTGCAGTTGTATACAGACAGAAGGGCTTGGCTACGCTGCTGGAAGAGGGGAGAAAATGACTGCTTGTGTTGGGCAATTCATAGTTCAGGGGGAGTTGCCTCTGCCATTAGAGCCAGAAGCGTTCCAGTAACCTGTGCTGCCTGTGATTCTCATACAAATGAGCTTAGGTTGTTTTTGTGCCGGGCTGGGGGCTCACTGATTGTGTTTCACCCCGCACATGCACTGTACTATTAAGCAAAGGAGCACTTGAAGGAAGCTGGGCACATGTTGAAAAGCTGAGTGCTGCCCGGAGGGACAGCAGCCGCAGCAGGGGAGCAGCAGGCACGCAGGCAGCATCGCTCGGCTGCTTTTCAACACACAACTGACCTAGATTTCCCTGTTGGGACAGGCTGGTGTGAACCCTGGGCCAATGTGGAAAGCAGACTCTGCAGTGTTCCTTCTCAGGCTTACCAACACAGCTACAGCTGCAAGTTTGTACTTGCAGTGCATAGCTCCTTGACAGAGCATCAGTCTGTCCTCCTGTTTCACCTTCTGGCCATTAAGAGATGAGGTTTTGGCTGTATACACACTTTTCCTAAAGAATTTTATGGGGCAAAAAGCAGCTACTGTTCCCACAGGAAATTCTATGTACTTTGCCAGTGTCTGTATCTAAATGTTCCTTGTCAGAGCAAGAACGGTCAGTTCCTAGCCTATCCTTCACCAGACAGTGATTATTTATCAGTACTTGTCCACCTGAGGCATCTCATTCAAACTCACACCAATTGTTTCCCTATTTTGCCTTTTTGTCTCCTTCATTCTGTATAATTTTAAACTACCTGACATTTCTTATGAGTAAAATTGTAATTTTATTGGAGAAGGGGTGGCCTTTCTTCTGCAATGAGGAAAGACATTAGTTAAAACTGATTTTTTAAGGAATCTTAAGTAAAGTAGGTTTCCTAACCTTGGTGAGTTGCAGTAAGACTTGGGCATTTTATCTTAAAATCCCAGCCTAAAAATACACCCATGTGACCTCTGAGAAACTGTCTAAAGCCAGTGGTAAGAATTTATCTTGGCAGATAACCAACATCTTCCTATAGTATGAAAGGAAACTCTCTCCCTTCTGAGCTAAATGTTAACTCAGATTGGGAATTGGAAAAAAAAATGTAGGAGAATACAAAGATTTGAAATTACTTTAGATATAAGGAAATATTTTTAGTGAATAAATGTATTTAACTGCAGGTCCTAATCCTGCAAGTTAGCAATGGTCCCTGTCCAACAGCCAGGGAAGGTTCTTTGAATTTGGCATAACAGGCAGCTTGTTACTGTCTCCAGTAATAACTGCAGGTACCCAAAAATTTTGAAATAGTTTTTTTAGTGGAAAATTAATGAGACTGGGGGGAGGTGTACTGGTTCTGAGGGTATTTACTTGCATCAAAAGTTTTTGCTGTCAGCCAGAGGCAGCATCCCATTGAAAAAAGAGGAAAAAAAAAGAAAAAGAAACTTCATCTTTTGTGTTATTTCCATTTTCTGCTCTTTGTGATTCTTTTGAGTGTTCTGAGGCTTTTAATCTCTTGTACTTTCTGTGAAAAAAATTCCATAAATGGAAAGGAAATATTTTAAAATTCACAGCAGTTTTCACAGGAGAGAAGGACCCTTTTTTTACTAATATTGCAATGAAAATGTGCATGGCCCATGTCTATTTTAGGTGATTTGTAGGAGACTTTTCAGGTACTTCTTATTTCAAAACCCAAAAAGTAATATTTAGTTGGTATTCACATAAGTATTTTACATAATTTCTTCAAGTACTTACATACTTGTAAGTATGATAATATATTTATATTATTTGTAGTTTTTCTATGCTTACAGCCCCCCTCAGACCTAATATGTGCAGAAATTGGTGTCAGAAAATGATTGTGTGTTGTAGGATGACCATTTAGTATTCATCTGGGAATTACCTGAAGTACCTCACAATTTTGTTTACACACCCACACCCCCACAACTATGAAAATTAATTCTATAGTTGATTTGGGAATCTATTTGGTCTCTGTACATCAGACATCTTGGCATATGATGCTTTCAGAACTTTTATTGTAATTCCTAGTCTTCATAAATATAATTTTTTTCTTCTCTCCTCAGAAATTTTTCCAAGAGATTCCAGTCTAAAAGACAAGTTCATAAAACATTTTACAGGTAAGGCAGCTGCCTGTGTTTTTCCACATGTACATACTCTAAGTAGCTGCAAATGTCACACCACTAATTTTTTTGAGGCTCAACATTTCTGAGGCTAACATTTCTGAAGTTAAATGTGCATAGTTTAGAAGTAGAAATTTTTGAAGAATTCTGGTTTTATTGAGTGATCAACTGAACTATCTGGTCTAAATTAACTTTCAAAATGTGGTAAGTTAAAACATTATTTAAAAGTCATTGTTTAACTTTCATCGTCCTGTTGTGCTTTCCATATTTATTCTCACATTCACTAATTTTAGAACTTCTCATTGGACTGCACATATTTTTAAGAAACAGACCTTTGTGGCCACGTCTTTCCAAATCAGGAAAGATTTTTTGCTTCTGTCTCCTGATGTCTACATGTGGATATTTATTTTAATAGTGGAAACAGACAGAACAAGGAAGAATTAAATTAGTGTAAATGAAATATAAAAAATAACATGCTGTTTCAAGTATGAAAGTTTATGATGATTACAACCAAGTACTTGAAAACTGAGGAGCTGTATAATGCACTTAACTTTGGGACTGTATTGTAACTACTGAGAAAAATATTGTACCCTCTGAATATATTCAATACAAGTTGCCAATGACAAGGTGCTTGCACTGGTTCTTTGCTCTCCAGTTCCAGCTTTCTGTAACTCAGAAGAGTGAAGGTCTCAAAGTATGATACTGCAAATCTCATGGTGATTTTCAGGGTTATATGAAATATTAAAACTAAAAGCTGGACAAATAGTTGGACATTGGAGCATGAAAAAGAGAATTAGAAATAATTATGCATTTCCTCATTGCTGGATATTTCAGGCAGTGCTTGACAAGAAAGGAAGGTATTTGTTGTCTCTTTTGCATGGGGGAAGTGTATTCCAACCCTTGGGATAAGCACAACTTTAAGGATCTTTCTGCCAATAGCTCACCGCAACCTAACAGAATCTACAGGAACTGTGCCAGAGCCAGCTGGCCCTTCACCCCTGCAGTAAACAAGAGTAATTGTGAACCTGATCATTTTCAGTCCATATGAGAAAGAAATCAACATAGAGCTTCAAACTACGCTGTGCTATGTGGCAGAGCAACACTGAATATTCCTCTCCTGGGAAGGACAGACAAGAGAGATTTGTTTATGTTAGTACTTAATCAATTTCCTTTTCATTTTTAGCTTTGGAAACTCCTCAGCTACCATAAAAAGCTCAGCATAAGAATCTGGGGAAGCTAAGTAATGAATACAGATTGATTTTCATTGCTCAAAACCAGGGGAAAACAGCCATGAGTTTTACAAAAGTTATTGTGAGACTGGTAAATCATATAAAAAAAAAATACTTGAAGGCCTGTCTGTGGACCCATTCATGAAATTAATAGTCCTTTTCTGCAAGAATTTAATTTAGTTGCCATCAAAATTGCTGAAATTACTTGAGTAAGATTAGCTGGAATGAATGAGGAAAGCAGGATCATTCCAAAATACTGAAAGTTTATTTGTTGGCTCAGAATTTCTGCCTACAGTTAGTTTCTTTCTTTCTTTTTCTTTCCTTTTCTTTATTTTCTTTCTATCTATCTATCTATCTATCTGTCTATTTGTCTCTTTTTCTTTCTCTTCTCTCTCTCTCTCTTCCTCTCTTTCTTTCACTCTTTTTTTTTAATATATCTTAAGATCTTCAGGGATGGAATTTTCTGCCTGTTGTTTTATATCTTATTTCATTTTTCATCATTTTACTAGATCCTGTAATCCATAGCCATTTTCTTAAAATACAGTGGAACTTTGGATTTTGTTATTCTGTTCCAATCATGATCTTCTAGCAGCCTTCATTAATTAAACTGTTTGATTACAGTTCTTACTAGTTCAGAATTAGGACAACCTAAACTAATGAAGTGGTGAAAAAAAAAAAAAGAGAGAAGCTGAAATCAACATTATCTTTATAGTACATTATCTTTACAGTTTCAGGGTTAAGAAAATTATTGCACACTACTCATATGCCAGGAATAATAGACACATTTTAAAGCCAAATAAGAACCATATGTAACAGTCCTTGACTATAGGAAAAATCATAAATAATCTTGTGAGTCATAAAGTAATCTGTCAATTTAGCTTGGAAAGCCAGCTGACACAGAGTGTTTTGTAAGACACAATAAAATTAACAGCCTATTTTTGATGACAAGGAAGAGAGCTAGAAAACCATATATTATCTGAAGGGACATGGAATTTATTTAGTGACAAAAGCCAGTGTTGTCTCCATATATGCTGGATAATTTCAAATTACATATTTTTCCTTGAGTCTAATTACTCGCTCAGAATAAAAAAATGGCCACAATATTCCAGTTCAGACTTGCAAAGGCTGCTCTTCCAGTTTGTTGAAAAGGTTATTTGTGGCTTAAAAAATCTACTGAAACCCATGTAGCACTGTAAAATAAATCTAATCTTCAAGTATGTTCACTGTCATAGAGAGGAATCTTCTCTGGAGCTCATGGCAGTTTGGCTTCACTATCCAGAGAGAATTAGCTTTATTTATTTTACCAGGCCCATAAACCATCTTTCAAGTTATGAAACAAGTTTGTTTTGGTGTTTTTTTTTTTTTTTCCCCAGAAATGCTTCTTGGTTTCCTCTGAAAGGAAAGATGGCCAACAAAGTCTGCTTCATGTGAATCATTTTGTAGCACTGCTTGATGCAAGCTATTCTTATTTAGGGTTCCTACTTGTACTAAATTTGCATTTAAATTTAGCCTTATTCACTTAACATCAGTTCGTATCAATGTTTTCTGTCCAAATCACAGGATACGCATTCCCAGCTGTCAGTGTCTTGCTAAGCAGGTTATGAATGCAAATATTGCATTTTTGCTCTCTTTTTCAACTTGAATGTCACCAGTAACACTTTCTGGGGCCATCAGCAATTTTGGAAGGGGTCTTTAGCAACTTGTTACAGTTAAGCCATGTTTTGTAGAAAAATAGACCCGTAGAATGGTTTGGATTGTAAAGAACCTTAAAGATCATCTAGTTCCAACCCCCTGGCCACAAGCAGGGATGCTTTTTAAATCAAATATTAACGTAAACAGATGGAACTGTATATCCAAAGAAGGGAGCAGTACACTATACCCTGGACATGCAGGGATTTGCCTTCCCAAAGATGAAACATATCTTGCATTCTGCACATTGTATGCTTTTTTACTAGGATTATTTAACAGGAGATCAGGTTCCTAGATGTTATTCAGCTGTCATTTTTTTTTCCCCTTGACACCCACACTGTATATTAAGAATTTTATAAACCATCTATGTGCAAATTAAAAGCATTAGTACATGAAAGTACTTCATCTTTCCAGGGGTTAGAAACTCATGCTTGCTTAAAATGTTGTTTTTATTTATCTTTACAAATAGTATCCTCAGTCCAGGTGCATTATTCCTTCTACAATAGACTACAGACAACCATTGAACGAACTAAATTCTGTTGTAATTGTCATTCTGTTTTTCACCATATAAGAAATTTCACTGCTAATTTTGAATTTGAATGGGCTAAACCAGCCCATTATTTTAATGTGCCATTTTTTCTGTTTTCTATATCATGAGCATAAAGGCACAACAACAGAATTTCTTTCTGTTATTTCACTAGCATTATTATACTTGTGTTCACAGCAACAGAATTTCTTTCTGTTATTCCACTAGCATTATTATTATACTTGTGTTGCATCATAGTTGTTTAAGGTATAGTAAAAGACTAAATGCAATTTTAGTTCTTTTAGAGAAAAAGAACTTAGTGCTATGTGTCGTTGTCATTCATTGAAGCTGCAGAGCAGTGACACTGAGAGCTTGTTGTTAACTCCTCCTTACTTTCAAACAGGGCCAGTCACATTTTCCTCAGAGTGTAGCAAGCACTTTCATCGACTGTATCACAACACAAGGGACTGCTCAACACCAACCTGTAAGTAGCAAAGTACTTTTTAATTCTAGCTGTGATACTTCCTTGAAAGCAACACACTTTATCTATTAAGAGTTTGATGTCCTGGTCCTTTTTTAAGAGTTACTCTTTAGCACTACATTAAAAAGCATATCCAAGGTCTTCTAATGTATAAAGATTTTCTGTTAATGCCCTTGCTGTCAGCTGAACTTCATGGAGTTCCTTCAAAGTGATGCTGAAATATATGAAATGAAAACTACACTGAAGAAAACCAGTAGGGCATCCTTATGCAGAGGACAGATATTCTCCTTCTTGCTCTCTTTAGCTTTCCTTGTGCAAGATAAAATCTGAACCATTCTTTACCTTCTATTAATGCTGAATAGTAGATTTGTACTTTTGGGGTTTAGTATATTTCAGCTTGTGAGTATAATTTTCTATTATATGCCCATTGTTAAACAACATAAAGTAATTTGATTTACCATGTTAGTGATACTTTCAGTTCTCATCAAGCAACCTTCCTCTCTGAGACTGCAGAAGCTTTGCTTTAACACAGCCTGAATATATCTTTGTCAGAGACACTGAAAATAAAAGGGTTTTTGGATAAAATGGATAAAAAAAACAAACAAAATCCCCAAACCAAAATGGAAATTCATTAAATAGAAGTTACTTCAGCATTCTCTAGTGCAATGGAAGTTCAATAACAGTCAGTGGAAAAGAAGCAGTGTGTTTTAATTAGAGAAAGTGAATCTCAATAGGGGTGTGTAAGCACAAACTGTGAACAAAGTTTGGTGCTTTGGAAGCTTTTCAGGATTTAACATGAAAAAGCAATGGCACTTTCTGGCTGCATCACTTAGAAGCACTGTTTGTGAGCAGCTGAGGTGCTCTGTCACCATAGCTCAGCACATCAGAGGATTTAGTGTTTGAAAGGGGGTGGAGCAGCCTCATCTCCATTTGCCTTTACACTTATCAGAAGCTGGAATATAAGAATCCATGGCTGACCCTCAAAAGTTATACATGCAGCTTTCTAAGTAGACACAGGAGTAGGCAAGGCATATTTCTGTTACATGCTGTGCAATGAAAATACCATGTTGCATGTTGTATGCCTTGACACATGGATCCAGAGCATGTGAATATTATTCAGACTCTTATGTATTACCTAAGTGTTTCACTTTATTTCTAAAGAAACACATTAATATTATTTTTCTTCAAATTAAATACCTTTTCTTAAAGTTAAAAATAAGACTGTCATTTTGAATGGTGTGAAGGATTTATTTTTTAGTTCAACTATCAAAGCAAATTGTAAAATAAAAAGGATGATTTAAACCAAAGCAGAGTTTTTGTTCCCCCTTTCATCAAGCAAACCCGAAGCAGACAATGAGTTACGTTCAGCTGAAATGTTCTGTTCTAAAAAGGAGAGCTAAATCATCAGATTTGTCTCCACCTTATCTATCACCCAGGCTGATCATAGCCAAGATCCTTCCCTGTGTCTTTAGAGGGGTTTGATATTTTCTGTCAGGGACACCTTAGTCATCAGGGGATGTCTGAGGATGAGTTATTTCCTCTCCTTCTGACATGGTTATACATTGTACAAATATTTTCTGAGGAACTGAAACCCAGATAGCAATCACTTTCTTGCCATTTGGCACAATTTAGATTAAGTTTTATTAAAAGACTTATCAAGCAATAGAAGCACCTATGTATTTCTTGTTAGCAAATATCAGAAAGGATAGCAGTGACTCAGGGTCCACTTGAACCAAGAGGTCATTTGAACCAAGGGCACACGACAGGGGGATTGGAAGTGGGAGTTTAGTATCTTTAGTATGATGATTAGGAGATGTACTTAAATGTGAAAAATATGGAATTAAATCAATATTAATAATAAATGGAACAATAAAATGTTTGAAACAGCCTGACTTCTGACTATGTTATAGTGATAGTTACAATAGCCTCTCAGTTAATGAGTTAAATTCCCAGTCTTCCACATTCCAGTAGAAAACTTCCTGGCAGAAATTTATTTCCTTCCATCACTTGTACTTTTCCTCTAGAACACTGATTATGCTAAGGTACAATCTAATATTGCATCTTGCACACATAATTTCATGAATTTCCATCAGATAACAGTTTCACTGTGTAGAGTGTCTGAAATTCAAGTACAAACTTTACATTTAATTTTATGCAGTTTTTTGAGGGTATCTGGCAACTGAGATTCATTATTGCTGTGGGTAATTCTGTTTTATAGATTACAAAAGGTGTGCAAGATTGCTAACGAGATTAGCAATGAGCCCTTTGTGTACACAGTCCTAGGATGTTTGCTATGTAAGTATAATTTTCCCCACTCATTTTCTTATTTGTTGAATGGTCTAGTGGTTTACTTCACACTTATACCTTGTTATCAGGTGTGCATACAAAAATGTGGTGTTATCAGAGTGCATCAACATGCAGCTTTGGCGTTGCAGAACTGACTGGCTCCCCCTGGAAATACAGAGAAGCACAAATAGCTCTGACAAGCCCCAGTGTAATTTCCTACAAGTCACTTGTGGCACTGCAGTCCATAGCTATGCACTGGGTGGCCTCTTGCTGTTCAAAATTTCAATGAGGAGTTGGCTTGGTGAAAGAAAAATGCTCAAGGGCATCAGCAGCACATTTATTTCAGTCCATTCTGCAGAGGACTTTGTTGTTAATCCATGGAAGAAACAGAATGTCTTGGTCTCAGGTCTACCAATGCAATCTTCATAGATCACCTGTCACTTAATTAATTTCTGGGACCCCTTTTCACTCCCGTATTGTCTTCTGAGATTTTCTGAAAAGTTAATAACCACTTCATGGTGATGGAAGGAAACTGAACATAAAGATGTGGAAAGTTAAAAGTTTCACTAAGTAGTCTGAGGAAGAAACCAGTCCATTCTTGTTTATAAATAGCATGTCAAATGTTAATTACACAGCACTGTCACTGATAAAAGTAACATCTCCAAGTGAGCTGTTTTCTCCTGTTGTTTGAATAATAATATGATGGTTATACTTTCAAAGGTTAATTTGTAAATACACACATTGGTTGTTATTATTAACCACTAAAATGTATAAGCTCAGTGAATTTTATTTATTTAAATTTCTTTGAAGATGGTTTCATTTCACCAGCTCCTCCTGACAAATACTGCAAGCTTGGAGCTTGGGGGAGTTGTGTATGTCACTTCTTCCTGCATCAAGACTTCAATTCATACTAATCAAGAATAAGAAAAGAAGAGTAGGATATGAGTCAGTGTTAGCTGATTTGATTTCTCAGTGGAGGTGGGATTCATTTGGAGGCTGTGCTTTAAAGAATATGGCAATATTTCAGTTCTGAGAAGAAATGACATAATTTCTTTCTCTTCTTTTCTTCTTAACAATTTTCAGTCTCTTTGGTGTCTTGATTTCCAGGTGTTGAATATACCAAGGACAGCAAACCAGAGATTGACTAGGCATCTCCTTACTTTGTATGTATCTCCTTTTCATGACTCAAGGCAGGAATCCTTTTCTCAATGCCCCATTAAAAAGAAAAATAATTAGTACTTAAATTCCTGGTTTTTACTATCCTCTTTTAAATCTCAGCTTTCTCAAACATCCCACCACTTGCTTTCTGCAGTTTTACCTTTTTAATCTCTGCTTTTCCTTTATCTGTATCCATTTACATCTCTGGATTCATGTATCAGGGCTTTCAGAGAGATTTCTGGTGTTCCAAATTTTTTTCTTTTTCTTTTAAGAGAATGAGTCAAAGATCTGCCTACATATCCACAGTACAGAAGCATCTATCTCATCCTATTTCCATCTTTAAAACACAAAAGGATCAAAAGTTGCTATGATTTGCAAAGCCAGGTGTTTTAATTTTCCTGCCAAAAATACATTCAAATACATGAAAAATAGGGAAGAGAGGTTTTAAATGGTAAGCATTGCTAGCAGTTCGTGTGCACTGCATTCACTTAAAATTGTTTCTAGGCTAGTTTTCTCTCTACTTTGTTGAAAATAGAGAAAACGTTATAGGAAAAAGTAGAGCCATGATCTGAGTGTTCCCCAGCTGTCTTTGTGCTCCCTCACCCTATTCCTCCACTAAGTACAGCAGATAGTTTCCATCATAAATGAGACATCCTCAGATCTTCATGTTTACTCATATCCACTGATTCTTGGAATGGAAACATTTCCTTGAGGAAGGTGAAGAGTGGCAGGAGTTGCTCTCTCTTCCCTGTTAGTAGGGAGTGCAACAAAGGAGTTACATGCATTCATCCCTCAAAAACATTGCATTTCGAACATGATTCTCTGATTGATTCTACTTCATCTTTTGGCGCAAGGGATCTGCTTTCCTCACCACCCTCACAGTAGTGTAGAGAGGACATAGCCATAGATCCTGTTTCCTGTAAGAAAATTTGCCTTCACTTTAACATTTGACAGAGTCTTGGAGATTCTTGGTTCTCTCACTTGAAGAACTGACAGCTATTTTTAAGCATTTTCTTGCCAGTACTAAAATAGTCTGCCTTTTCCTCATTAAAAAAAGAGCTGCAGTGCTATTATGCAAATATTTTCCTTCCTCATCTGTAAATATCCGGCTATACAAAGAAGACGTGGTCTTTTCCTCCTCGAAATGAACTTTTGCTTGGGGGAAGCCAATCGCCTGCCCTCGGATCTGGCCGCGCAAGCCGTGGCGGGAGGTTTCAGCACCATGGAGAGGCGCCGCACCCCGGGCAGCCGCCGGGGTGGCTCCGGGGCCGGGATGCCGGGCACATGCTGCCCTTACAGCTCTGAGAAATTTGGGTGGGTTTGTTTTCACTTCCTGAGCCAGATCCCTACAAGTGGAAGTAAAGCATTTGATGAAAGCCAGAATGTAGAACCGCACGTGGCTATGTGCATGGGGAGCTCGCCTGCAAGGTGCAGCAGCGCGGACCTCCATGTGTTAAACCTTTTGGCCCTGAGGATTTGCCCCGGCAAAACTCATTAGTGTTCACAGGAGGGCAAGACCCACTGGCATTTGAAGTTAATCTTATGATTTATACAATCCGCAGGAAACTGTGGTTTATAAACAGAATTTTGCTAAGCAGCCTGCTTTTCTGGTTTGAAACTAGTTATAAAATGACATGTCGTTTTCTCTTGCAGACTTTCTACCAAGGAGAGAATTCTGCTTTGCCAAGAAAGTGCCTTGAAATCTTCAAAAATGGAGACACATCTTTTATCTTTTTGATTTACAATGTTTTGTTACTAGATGCATTTTATTTTCATATATTTGTCCGACATTCCATATTTGTGTGAAACATTATTTTATTTTGTAAATTTGTTGCCTATAGTTCAGACAAGCCAATTATTTAAATACATTGTATATGAAGAATACTAATGATATACTGATTAAATGTTATAACCGTATGCAGGGAGTTGGTAAAATTTTGCTGTTTCTCTTGTTCCGTTGTATTTACATCGTTCTGCTCAGGCTCATACTCTCATTATTTGCACTAACTTGAAATGCAGAAGTCTGTGTAACTGAAATCTGAATAAGCTGTAAGTGGGGAAGTTTTACTTGCCATGGAAGATATTTTATATTATGAAGCTTTGTTAATATATACATAAATATTATTGTGCATCAGAAAAAAATTTGCTCAGAAATGCACCTTGCTTTCAGGAACATTTGTATGACTATTCTGGATTTTCATCAGTTACATTTGTACCGGCACTTATGGAAAGAGTTGCAAATAATGTAAATATAAAGACTGGAAAACTGCAATGCAGTTTTGGTGGAATAAAGAACATAAAAATAAACTATTTTACAGGAGGGGTTATTTAAGTATATTAAGAAGTAACTTATTTAATGTATATATTTAATCTACTGGTGAACTTGAAATAATCCTCCACTGAGAACTTCAAACTTGAGGGTTTAGTATTTTTCAACATTTTGTTTTCATGGGGTAAATTTTTTTCAGCCATTTATTCTTCAGTTGAAAAAGGTGTGAACAAAAATGCATCATGTACCTAGTGTGAACAACAGAAAACATCTGCAAGTATGCAAAAAGGGTAATAAGAAAGTCTAACAGGACAAAAAATGCTTTAAAGTATAATGCCACAAATCCAAGGGGTATAATGAATGAATTTTGCTGGTGATACATCAGTCTTAAATATTTGGGAAGACTCCAGGGCACAACTGCTACATATTTTTCATTTAAAATCTAATTGTATTGTTCACATTTGCCATCCATTTGTTATCTCATCTCATCTCTTTTATTGCAAGCTCATATGATTGCTTTACAAGGAACCCAGTATCCTGTGGGGGTTTTACAGTCAGATCCAGAGTAATTGACAACACACATTGATTACTATGCTCAAATGTCAATTCTTGAGATTAACTGACCAAGATAATCCTTTCAGATTAAATATTATCTCTACCTTTTCCCTCACTGTGGGCTTCATGAACCCCCTAGTTTCTATGCCCAGCACAATTCCCACTACAGAACAGCAGGAAAACTTTGCCCTTTTCCTCATCAAATAGCAAAGAGTTGCCTTGTTATCCTTCCTTCTTTCGATATGTTCAGTGTATTACTGCACCAAAGCTCTGCAGTGTCCTGTGATGCTCAGCTTTTAGAAGTACTTACTCCATCTCTAGTCCCAGCTAGGAGGTTGTCCTGTACTCTTTGTGATTAACTGGATTGGTTTTCTAACTTTCTGCAATCATGTTCTTTTGGTAAGAGCAAAGTTTTCAAGTCTCCTTCTAATCCACCTTGAAAGCAATATTCATACTGAAAATCCCAGTGGTTTGAATGGTGAGAAGGATATTTTTGGATCTCTGTGGGTAACATACTTCACAGAAGGATTATTGGCCAAAACACTTCAGTGGAGGACAAAGGATGAGGCTCAGAACAGGCAATCAGTCTCCAAGAAAAGCATTTGTCTTTAGTCCCACTTTGATTTTTCCACTCTGGCTTGCTAGCTTCTCAGTCTAAAAAAGGTTTCTCCTTTCCTTCCTCAAGGGACTGAAAAGAATTCAAGTATTTTTGGTTTTTTTTTTTTTCTGAAAATTACTTTTTTTGATATCTAAATTCCAATGAGAAAGACCTAATTGGTGTAATTTAATAAAATCAAATCTAGTATGCTAAATCAAGAGCTTCACCTTTGCAAAAATAAAGAATTCTTCCTTCTGTTGAGTCAGAAAGTGATTAAGTCCCCATCTTAGAGAAGATCCACAGATGTTACAAAGATGCAAAACAGAGATTAGTATGACAAGTTAAAATATTTATGAGGGAAAAAAAGAAATAGTGAAATTATTAAAGGGATAAAACCCCACAGTTCTTCTTTCCCAGAAGTCAAATGGCTTAGATTTATGTTTTTTTCTGGAAACAAATTATTCTTTGAGACATTTGTGGCATGCATCCCTTCTTTCTCTTTGGCCCCTTTTTGATGCTCAGTATGCTCTAAGTAGCTGGAAATACACCCAGCTTTTTCTAACCACCCCTCTACACATTTGTTTGTCACTATATTCCATCATGATTTTTAGATGCAGGGATGCTAAAGTTAGTAGCAGAAAAATAATGAAATAGCATAACACAGTCACTTTCCTGTTTAATCTGAAACATAAGTTGTAAGATCTATTAATGGTCCTACATTTTAGGAAGTATAAAGGATGGTTTTTGGAAACACAGTGAAGAAACAAATGCCATAGAAGCTGAGAGGAGGTGATACACTCAAGTAAATTGTGGTTTTGTCATGTTTTTACATGACCATTTTCCCTTCCAGATTTTCTTTCATTTTTTTCTCATGCAATTAAATAAAAAAAGTATTTTGGCTTCAGAAATACTTCTGATTATGGTTTTCCCCATTACCATGTTGTCCTTGCATACTCAAAATTTTTGTCTAATTTTTGTCCTGGTGGAGAATATTGAATAGGGATAGAGCCAGCATCTACAGTAGTGCCTCATCCCAATTTTTCACTCTGATAAACTGTTCACCTTTTTCAAACAACTTCATTCCTCCAGACTTTTGAATTACTAAAGAAAACCACTGTCAGCAAATACTGTTGTTGGTCTGGCATATTGTTGAGAGAAGGCCAACAGCATAAGGCCAACAGCATTTTAACCTGGACCTTTGTGAATGGAGACTACAACCCAAAGTTCAATTTTTTGTCCTTATTCCTGAGACCTTCTTAATTTTTTATCATAATACTGTAAAATTTTTCCTAGTCTGTGCTCTGAGTGCTATTCTAATGCAGGACAGAGACCCTATTCTCATCTCAGAGGTTAAAGCCACAGAGTAACATAGTGTGAGGAAAGTGTACATGAAAACAATGAACTTTTCTTGATTGGTGAGGTGGAAAATTACTCCATTACCAGCTGTCTAAATGCATCACTCGGAGATTTGACAGCAGAGGGCAAGAGAGCCAAGCAGAGTTTTATAAGGAACTCTTCCTGTGATGAGGGCTCTCATTGTAGAGCGACTTTTCTAAAAAAATTAGAATAACCCAATGCTGCACATAGGAACCCACATAAGAAATAAGTGACGGTATGAACACTTTGTAGGTGTCAGAAACTGAAATTTTAGCATGGAATGAGGCATTAGTTTTATAAAGAAAATTATACCATGGAAGATACCAAAAATGAGAATAAACAAAAATGTGGAAAAGATTAACTGCAGGTTTCATCTTGGACACATGCACTGGTCACCTATTGTGAAGACCCGCCAAAGTGTTGGGTGAGTAACTGGGATGTAAAACAGCAAAATGAATATATTTTCAGATCACATATGAAAGATTTTATTAACGGCTATGTTGGTTTTGAGCTGCAGGAGGAAATGGGTAAAGTTGAGACATTAGATAGATAAATACTCTAGGCAGAGGAGATGTAGAAATCCTAATTATTTCAACACAGCCAAAGAAACCAGCACCTCACAGACATTCTTTTCATCCCACCTGATCCTCCTTGTCCACCACGGGATCTCTAATTCACCTGGGTCAGTAGCTTGTACTGGTCAGCAGAAATAGAGACGCTGCTTATAGACCTGGCAGAGTGACCTGGCACAAGGTTTTTTGGCAGAAGACCAGGATGAATAGCTGCCATTCTGGGAAAGGAAGTATCTGCCTGAAATATGGCCCACTGGTCTCACCATCCCATTGTCAGGGGCTACCTGCACTGGACCTGAGCTGGGAAAGATAGCCGTGGAGAAGCAAAGGAGAGGTACAAATAAAAGGAGTGAGGGTAGGCAGCACTTAATATTCTGGAGTATTGGTTTGAATTCCCTAGGCTAATATTTGTTGCTTGTCTACATTTAATTTCTTTCCTCCTCCATCAACCATAAAATAGCTGAATTTTCCACCCAGTCTTACCTCCTCACTGTCTCTATGAATGTGAAAGCCTTATCCTCTGCTCACAGACAGGTATTAAAACCAAAAATGAAATCAAATATAAACCATTATCATTAAAAGTCCACCAAAGAAAGAACATGGTGCAAATCATCTGTGGAGCTTTCATGTAGCTTCACTGTAAGATGATGATTCTTGAATATTTTGACAGACAAATTTATACCATTTTATAGCATGGTTTTTGCTTTTAGACCCAAGGATGAGTATTTTTTTCAACCATACCAGAGTCACTTTGCTATCCATGTAGAATGGTTATTAATATAATTACACTGCACAATGTAATGAGTGTAATTAATTTAGCTTTGGTTCTCATTTGTCCTTATCACTCCTGTAATTCTATGGAAATACAGTAATTCTGCCCCTTGCTTTAGTAGTTGATTCATTTTCTTACTTGCAGTATCAAAAAAAGTTTGTTCCCTCCTATATTTCTTCTAAAAAAATTGCCCTGTCATTGGAATTACTGTCCATTTTTACATTGAATATGGCAATTTTTATATTTTTTGCATGAAGCAACCAGTTCAAGGAATAATTACTTACTCATTTACTACAAAAGAAACAGTTATCTTTATTTTAAATATTCACTGATCGTCATGCACTTCTTCTTATGAAGCATATTTTGCAGTAGTCCTCCCTTCTCTACAATATGAACTCCATTTATGCCATTTGCATCCCTTATAACTCATTGTCTAAATAATATATAAATTAAATATTTCCAGTTTATGAAACTGATATATCTTTTTTAATAACATTCACTTTAGTTAGAGCTGAACAATGCTGAAAATTTTCATGGAAATATTTCACTTCCATATCTCATAAAATGTTAGTTGGAAGCCCATCTGTCCATAAAATGCCATATGACTTTTCTCATATGCATTGCTCCATTATTATCCAGGTCAAATTTATTGGTTTTATTGTTTCTGTGTCACTCAGTATCTTAAAGTCTGGTAGGACTATTTTACAGGTCAGCTTTCATCTTTGGTACTCAAAGTAACTTGTTATCATCAAGTACTTAAAATTGATCACTTTTTGATTGTGCTTCTTTAGAGAGGGGTGTATTTTGCATTTGGTCATAAGAGAGGTCTAAGAAAGCAAACAAACTCCCTTCCCTTCCCTTCCCTTTCCTTTTTCCCCTTTTCTCCTTTCCTTTCCTTTCCATTTTCAACCCTGCTTCTCCCAATAAATACGCTCCCTGCTTCAACTGGAAGATATGAGGATCTATATAACTCACACATTCCTGAATGCAGCTTTGAGTGCTCAGGTAGTGCTATATGGAAATGTCCCTTAAAGTTTTTGTGACTCTAAACTTCTGTAAACTTGAGCTATTTAGGGCTTTCAGTGGGAATAATTACTCCTCACATGATCCACATCCTTACTGCCTTACCCATACAGTGTTGATCACTGACTCC